ACTACCACTACCACTGCCACTGCCACTGCCACTACCACTAGCACTAGCACTAGCACTAGCACTAGCACTAGCACTAGCACTAGCACTAGCACTAGCACTAGCACTAGCACTAGCACTAGCACTACCACTAGCACTACCACTACTACTACTACTACTACTACTACTACTACTACTACTACTACTACTACTACTACTACTACTACTAACACTACCAAATCTACAACTACAATTACAACTACGCTACATTACACTGCACTACACTAATTACACTGCAGCACACTACAACTACAAAGATACATGCAACTTCAACTACTACACTACATTACACAACACTACACAACACTACGCTATACTAATTACATTACATTAAACTACATCTACAACTGCAACTGCAACTACAATTACAAGTACCACTACATTGCACTACGCTACACTACACTACTTGCAATACACTACAACTACAACTACACTACACTACGCTAGACTACACTACACTATACCACACTACAGTACACAACACTACAGTACACTACAATATACTACACTAATTACACCATACCACAACTACAACTGCAACTTCAACGCTACACTAATTACATCACATTAGAACTTACAACTACAACTCCACTACACAGAACTACAACTACAACTACAGCTGCACTACACCACACTACATCCAACAGTTGTGGTGAGGTGACCACTGCAACCATTGCAACCATTCCAAAAAACACAACTCCAACCACCTTTCGGTCCATCAGCGGATTCGCTCTGCCATCCGTGATTCACAACAACCAATTCTTCCTATAGGTTTCATATTTTTGAAACTTCCGCCACCACCTTGTGCGGTACTACTGGTAAAACAACATAATTTTGCCTTGAAATCACATCATAAAACCACAAAATGTTGCTAACAAATCGGCCGCCAATGCACCACGTTCAGCACCTCGATGGGCAAATTTGAATGGCATGCGGCACCCATATTTTTTCCGTAGAAACAGTGGGGAAAACCATAAGCAAAAAAAACAGACCAAAATTTCCTGGCAAAGCCATGGTGCCGCAAAATATGTAAACCTTAGATGTCACTGTTTGGCCCCAAAAAATCCTGGTTGAAACCCACTGGTGGCCCAACACATAAGGACATAAGGTTCCTGATGCGCATGCAGGCGTTGCGTGAACTGATTAAATTCAATTCCCGTGGTTTGACCGGTTTCCCAAAAAATGTTGGCCAAAAACCGCCAAACTACAGTACCAACTACCACACGCTGAGTCCCTGATGAAACCAAAGTGATGGTTCAAACATCCGGAGCTTTGATTTGACCAATGATGGTTGCATGCCGTCAAAAAATGAAGAAAAACACAAACATGAAGGCCAAGGGGCGAAATATAGAATAGGAAAAGAAGAGCCCATAGCGGGGAGATAAACCCCAACGGCGTAATCACAGCTTCCCAACTCACGCCGCCAGCAATGCTCATAAAAAGGCTCAGCATTGTGTTCACTAAATTCCCGAAATATCGTTTTACATCATGTAGCTCTGGAGAGCTAGTGTCCATATCGCTCACTGCAGTGTTGACGGTCTGCGTGAATAAGACCGCAAATACGTATACCTGCCAGAAAAATAGAGCTCAAGGATATTCAATATATTCAAGTAATACCAGTAATGCTTTCAAAATGGAAGCTGCAGGTGCAGCCCGAGAGCGCAAGTTTTTCTGCTTTTCATTTCGGTTTTGTCATAGTTTCATCCTGGGACTTGGGTCGAAGTTGACAACATGGGTATGTTGCAGGAACGTTGGCAGTTGGCTTCCAACATTGAGATGTTGCAATAGCTTGTGGCAAGATGAAAAAATTAGGTCTGTTCACAAATATTTTTTTGTTTCTCACTTTTTCGTTTCGCATGCTTTTTCATGATGCAAATCCGGTCAAGCGTTGAAATTCACTTTCCCTTTTTCGCGCTTTTGGAAATCAATTCTTCCAGTTGTGTTTTTGCTTCTGGTCCGGTTCTTGTTTTTCAATCAACTTCGTCAAACATACATTGTCCATCATATCATATCGTTGATTACAACGGGTCAAAACATCACATTTAAATTTCCAAATGTCAACTTTTAAAAATGATCGTTGGGATTAGGAGACCACGACGCAGAAAGACATGAAGACAATAACGTAACGAAAAAAACAATGGAAACTGAAAATGGGTGGGTCGAAGAAAAACGCAAAAACTAAACAGGTTGTTGTAATTTGTCTCCGGGCCAGGCCGGAAAAAGGAACTTGCAATCCCAGACCTGTTGGAGCGGGCACATCTGGGGCAGTTGGTCAACACACTCCTGGTAATTCAGAAGTTTCTCTTCTTGGTTTCCTTTGCGTGACACATCATCCTGCGTGTGCGTAAGTCGCAAGGGTCATGACAATCATGTTGATTGGACAACTTGACACCAAATCCATGTCACCTGACATCCTCGGCTTTAACAGGAGAAACTCACTCAGAACGGGCCCTGCCTAACAAATCTTCTTCTGCCATCTGATGGCATTTCCATATATTTCCATGGCAAAATCGCCCCAGTCCCAGTCATAGGGATATGGAAACATGTTTTGACGCACCAAAACATGACATAACAAGACTCATCGAAATCTCCCAGAAAGGAAGCAGCACTCTGGAGCAGCAAAGCATATCAATCAGATTCTGACGGTCTCAATCCCCTGGGAGAAATCACATGAGCAAGATTTTTTTAAAAAAAAATGAAGCGGTCTTGAAGACACCCATCCGAATTGGAAACAATGTTGGGCCAAGATGCGACCAGAAAAAGCAAGAGAAGCGCCCATATCAAGGCTTTCAAGGTGTGCATAATGGACCGCACCAAGGTCCTGGCGACCGACATCGTCGGTAGACGGCTTTCAGCGATAAAGGGGCTGGTTCCCTGCCCGGATGCGCGCAATGGACTTTCTCAAACTCTAGAACATCTTGGTCTTACAATTGCCACCTTGCCACATGCCACTGCTTTTCAATTGGTCTTCTCATTCCAACATGACCATAAGTGTCTGGACCTTAAGCAAAAGGAGTTACAAGCGAGCACAGCATGGAGTTACAAGCGAGCACATTTAGCCATCGCCGGCGGGGAAGGGGCACGTCTCACTTGCCTCTCCTATGTCTCACTTGTGGCTCTTCTCTTGCACTTCCACACATATGCTACGCTATGAGATCTTTTCTTGCACTTGCACACCGACATGATGCCACGCTATCAGATCTTCTCCTGGCTCCGGCCTGGGGGTGGGGTGGGGTGGGGTGTGATAACAACCTTTGGCTCTAGGCACAGGGACTATATCCTGACGCTATGAGATTTCTCTTGCACTTCCACACATATGGTGCACACCGACATGATACCACGCTATCAGATCTTCTCCTGGCTCTGGCCTGGGGTGGGTTGGGTGGGGTGGGGTGTGATAACGTCCTTTGGCTCTAGGCACAGGGACTATATCCTAACGCTATGGGATCTTCTCTTGCGCTTCCACACATATGCTACGCTATGAGATACTCTTGTACTTGCACACCGACATGATGCCACGCTATCAAATCTTCGCCTGGCTCTGGCCTGGGGGTGGGGTAGGGTGGGGTCTTCTCGTGGACTTCCACACATATGTTACGCTATGAAATATTTTCTTGCGCTTGCACACCGACATGATACCACGCTATCAGATCTTCTCCTGGCTCTGGCCTGGGGTGGGTTGGGTGGGGTGGGGTGTGATAACGTCCTTTGGCTCTAGGCACAGGGACTATATCCTAACGCTATGGGATCTTCTCTTGCGCTTCCACACATATGCTACGCTATGAGATATTCTCTTGTACTTGCACACCGACATGATGCCACGCTATCAAATCTTCGCCTGGCTCTGGCCTGGGGGTGGGGTAGGGTGGGGTCTTCTCGTGGACTTCCACACATATGTTACGCTATGAAATATTTTCTTGCGCTTGCACGCCGACATGATGCCACGCTATCAGATCTTCTCCTGGCTCTGGCCTGGGGTGGTTGGGTGGGGTGGGGTGTGATAACAACCTTTGGCTCTAGGCACAGGGACTATATCCTAACGCTATGAGATTTCTCTTGCACTTCCACACATATGGTGCACACCGACATGATACCACGCTATCAGATCTTCTCCTGGCTCTGGCCTGGGGTGGGTTGGGTGGGGTGGGGTGTGATAACGTCCTTTGGCTCTAGGCACAGGGACTATATCCTAACGCTATGGGATCTTCTCTTGCGCTTCCACACATATGCTACGCTATGAGATATTCTCTTGTACTTGCACACCGACATGATGCCACGCTATCAAATCTTCGCCTGGCTCTGGCCTGGGGGTGGGGTAGGGTGGGGTCTTCTCGTGGACTTCCACACATATGTTACGCTATGAAATATTTTCTTGCGCTTGCACACCGACATGATACCACGCTATCAGATCTTCTCCTGGCTCTGGCCTGGGGTGGGTTGGGTGGGGTGGGGTGTGATAACGTCCTTTGGCTCTAGGCACAGGGACTATATCCTAACGCTATGGGATCTTCTCTTGCGCTTCCACACATATGCTACGCTATGAGATACTCTTGTACTTGCACACCGACATGATGCCACGCTATCAAATCTTCGCCTGGCTCTGGCCTGGGGGTGGGGTAGGGTGGGGTCTTCTCGTGGACTTCCACACATATGTTACGCTATGAAATATTTTCTTGCGCTTGCACACCGACATGATGCCATGCTATCAGATCTTCTCTTGGCTCTGGCCTGGGGGGGGGTGGGGTGGGTTGTGATAACGTCCTTTGGACACAGGAGCTATATCCTAATGCTATGACATCTTCTCTTGTACTTGCACACAGAGGCCCCACCCAAAGGAGCAAAAGGAAAGCACCCACCACAAGCAAGGCCAGACAAGACAGAGACACCGCAGAGCGAGCCCACCCAAGAAGCCCACGAGGCAGCAAGACAGCAAAAGCCTCAACCCCCCACCCTCCCAATGTTGAAACTGATGATGTCGAAATGATGATGATGATGATGATGATGATGCTGATGATGATGATGGTGGTGGTGATGATGATGATTTTGGAGTTACAAGCGAACAGATTTGGGAGTCACAAGCAGAAAGAATTTAGAGTCACAAGCGAGACACCGCCCAGGTGTACCAGCTTAGATCTTGTTCTTGGCCAAAGCCTAAATCACCGCAAGAGTGAATTCCCGCAACTGAGTTTATATGGAAATTACCACCGTCCGCGTCAAGAACTCATGACGTTCCCGCCGAAGAGACCTGGTATTTAGAAAGCTTTGGAAGATATTCAGAAGTGATAGATGCACCAAATGGATCCCAATGTATGGTAGATTTCAATGCTTTCAGCTTCCGTCATGCTTGTCGTTGAATGGCTGGGGGAAAACCTCAAATCCCGACCGTCTACGTGACTTTGGCCCGGGGCTTGGGCCGTCCTCAAGGGGATCACAAATCGGAAGATGCGCATCACCTGGGACCGGTGCGGCGAAGTGACAGCCCCACAAAAAATACACGGAGGATTTCATGGTTATTGTTGCAACCGCACAAGTAGAAAAACAATTCCCATTCCCTAAAGAACTAAACTGATATATACATAACAATTACATGTTTTTATTTATTTATCTATTTGGTGCCCCACACTTAGCATTGTTGGTTTGTATCTAGAACCAGGTTGACGGCGGCGGCTATATCAATAATTGGGTGTGGTTGTAAATCAACTGGTAACAGAAGGGCACCACTTTGCAAGAACGCAAGATCATGTCAAAATCCTTCAGGAAATCTTGTTGGGAAGGATGTGGACCTACTTTGGGGTGCGATTGTTTGTGTTACTATATGCAGTACACATGTGTAACCATAGTTGTAGGGCCAAGGTTATATCCCAACCCCGTGATTCTCCCTACCAATGTATAATTTTAACTCCAACCCCACACTATGTGAACCCCGGAATCGACCCCCGCACGGTTGGATGCCGCTAGGAAGCTTGTGCAGTTTTGAAGACCCGAGTCAGGCGGATGATCCTGGCTGCTTTGTGGGCAAAAAGACCCCTGTCTGAAAAATGCGACCACCAAAAATTACATATTCCTTACATGCCAGGTGAGTGCCTCTAGATTTATCAGGGCTGGCCAGCCCACCTCTCTTGCCCGCCTCCGCCTCTTGCCCGCCTCTGCGTCAACTGCAACTGCGAGCTCCCGATCTAAGTGGGCACTGCCGGACCTCAACCGCGAGCTCCAGATCTCAGCGGCCCAACCGCGAGCGCCAAAGCTCACAATGGTTAATACAATGGTTGCGGTTGACATACTAGTACCAGCCATTGGATCATGTCCCTTTTCACACCCTTTCAACTTTTGGACCTTCGCAGCCGGACCTCAACCGCGAGCACCAGATATCAGTGGGCACTCCCGGACCTCAACTACGAGAGCCAGATCTCAGTGGGCACTGCAGGACCTCAATTGCGAGCGCAAGATGTCACATAGAATGTCAGAAGAGATGTCAGATAGAATGCCGGATAGAATCTCGGAATATGTGCCAGATAGAATGCCAGAATAGATGCTACATTGGGATGTGACCAAGCAGAATGGTGTATAAAATACGTCTCTCTCAACAAAAATGGTGATTCACCCCCCATTGATGGCGATATATTTCAATGGGAAAAATAATGAAGAACCACTGGATGGAATGAGATATCCTATTGCCACACAAACCCAAGAGAGAGCAGGCTCTTTGGGCCTTGCACCTCATCCTACAAGGTGCTCCACAGCTGTGTATGTATATATATATATATATAAAAAAAATATACACATATTGCTAGGGCGTCTAGGGGGTTGCCCGAAACTACCCCAGTTACAAGTTGGTTTACAAAACCCTCTCTGAGTATGGATGTGTCGCTTTGCATGCATGCATAGACATATATATATATATATATACTCTCTCTCTCTCTCTCTCCATGGCGATCAGGTCTCCCTGCGATGAAAGCATGCACATATGGCGCTACTTCCATACTATGTCCATGATAACCCCAAGTTAACCGATGCTCATGGCTCATGACCAACAGCCAACAACTGTCCTGAGGGCCTTCAGGCTGGTCACACCCATGGGACCAGCCGCAAGCTCACCCTGCAGCAGCACCATCATGATTTCCCAGGTGGAGGTTAACCTGTGAAGCCGGGGATCACACCCAACCCCTGATGTTGACTTATCAACCGTTATCAACCGTTATCCACCTTGCTAAAGGGGTGGTTTGAAAGAAAGAACCAGCGCACTTGGAATTCAACCAACAAGAACTAGTGGTTTGGGCTGGTGGTGTTGGAACTTTTTAGGGTGCCCTACCACAATAATTGCATATAATTACTGTAGTCCCAGCCCCCCAAACAGATCTTTAGATTCTCAATGATTCTCAATTTCCGCACCACTCATCATCGCAAACCAGCTCTTCCTACTACTTATCCATGGATCATGGTGCCGAACATTGGGGAACCCAAATATATATATATATAGTTATAGTATGTTATAGTTATATATATATATACAAAGTTTACAAAGATCATACGGCCAATGAACATCTAATACATCTACATTTGGCTATTTGACCACATCTCACCAGCATTGTTGGACACGCATGGTGCGTGCCTTAACTGAGGAAAACTTGATCTCTCTCTCTCTCTCCATCACCATCAGGTCTCCCTGCCGTTTTCGATCTCTACGAATCATGACCGGTCAAACCAAGCGACACAATGAAGAGATCCAGGAGGCACCACATATAGTCCTGGTCAAACAGGACCAAACATCCCAAAAGCATCCAATTTCAAGGATGGCTGTGATTCCCGGTGTCCCGTGGGCCCGTTCCCATTGTCCCGTGGGCCCGTTGACCCCTTCCCGCTGGGCCCGTTTCCGTTGTCCCGTTGGCCCCTTCCCGTTGTCCCGTTGTTCCGTTCCCTGTTGGCCCGTTGGTCCGTTGTCCCGTTTCGCGTTGGTCCGTTGGCCGCTGTCAATGCCTCTTCTCCCAATTTCCAAAGCGCAAAGTTGTGGAGGGTCAGTTTGTCGGTGGTCATGGACGCCAACATTGAAGCATCTGTTGTTACAGCTGATGCCCATTCAATTCGCTCTTGAAGGTCCACGTGAAGAAAATTCCTTGTTGCTTTGCTGATGAGTTTCTGTGACATGTATCTTCAAAAGAGATCGTCAACTGAGCAGTCGTGGTCTACCTGGTCTTCCATCATCAGCACAAACACTCGTCATTTTGTCTGTACAGACTCCCGGTCAGTGCTGTTTCAGTCGTCCAAATCTAAGACCTTCTGAGACACACCGAAGTTCAATCTAGAGTAGAATACTGAGTAGAACGTCAAAAATTACGTTTTGAAGGGTGGTTCTACTTCCTTCGCGTTCCCATGGCTTGTGTTTGTGTGCGGGTCAGTCTGCGCAACTGTAAAACCCCGAAACAAATTCCGAAACCCAGGCGTTGATCCCTTTTTGATATTGAGCCACCCCATTTTGGGAGCAAATCACATTGACCCCCAAAACTACCATCATTTCTGCAAGACATAAAGCATCATGTACTGTGTGATATTCGGCACAGGCCCCAAGTCCCCGCCCAGGTTGCCTCGCCCCAGAAAATCCTGAGACCACCTGGCACCGCGCGATGAGTGTTTGTTAGGTATTGCGGGGTTGGTTCACCCACTTTTTGGTCCCCGAGAACTCAGCAGAATCCGACTTAGGCTTACCAACCAGTCAGATCAATTAGTGGGATGATTCTCCAAGTCGGTGTCCCGGCAGATTCACTGATCATGGGCCAGCAAGAACAAACCCCAAGGAATTCGAATGAATATTGCTTCCAGGCACCAGGTATGGGAGCTTTCCCGTGACTTTCCCTATCAAAAATTGCCAAAACTGAAGGCTGATACCCTCCGGTAAATAATGGGACATAGCTATGGGCCATCCAAATGTGCCCATTTATGCCCATTTAAACCTAGGTCGATGTGCTACCTATTAAAAGTGGCCCACTACTTCCAAAAACAAAGTTAAACGTCGTCCAAGTAAAGCCATGACTTTACTTAAAGACACTCATTGACTGCTGATATATATATATATACCATTTGGCCATACTAAAGGTCAAAAAAGGGTGACCTTTCCCCTGAGCTTAATCGAATCAGTAAATCAATCCTCAAAATTCTGAATAAAAATATGTGGTTTCCATGCTCAAGTTTTTGATTGGTTTTCACGGGTTTTTCACTGTCTTTTCACGGGTTTTTCACGGTCGTTTCACGCACTTTTCACGCTCTGGGTTTGGAGTGGGATTTGTTTGAAACTCTGGAGTCCGGTATATATTTATACATATTTGTACTAGTACTCATTGGGTCTGATAATGCCCAGTAAACACATGTCGCTTCCAAAGAACAAGTTAAACTTTGTCGTTGTGAAAGCCCCAGTTAAACTTTGTCGAAGATTGAGTGGGTGGTGATGTTCCACAAATGCTAAACTACCAGAGGGCGCTGTAATTTCTATATCTGGGCCCCCCCATGACGACTGAGAAACCCCCAAGCTACCCCAGGAGTAGTTTTATATCCGACCTGCGCAGAGACGAACAATGAGCTCAATGGCAAAGAGTACGGTAAAGCCTGTTTGCCTCGTAAAGATAGGTCGATGTTGCAAAATGCCAAGGAAACATACCAAGGAAACCAAGTGTTCAAATATGTTCAAATGGAACAACATGCAAAAACGACCAACTTGTTGCGTGAGGGGCGGTAACCCATTTGGGGATGATTGAAACCCTAGATGAAACCATAATTTATGGTCAAGTCGGCCAGTGAGGTCGCAAAAAAATTGCCGAGGTCAAATACAGGGGGTGCAACCGGGTGAAAGTTTTGAATTTTGCACAGTTTACCTAGTAATCCTGCGTGCTCTTCTGGCTACCCAACGGCACCAAGGGCAGTAAGAGTTCGAACGCGGTACAGGTAGAAATCTTGAGGGCACTTGAGCGGGACCCCCAATCCCCGAGTTCTACGGCGAGCAGCACAACAGCCATCACAGCGTAAACCTGGTTTGGATTTCTGATTTCGACTTCCACCTCGTGCCCGGCATGGCCATCACCGCCATCATTGCAACCAACATCTCAAAGAGAACTGCTGGGTTTGGGATGTTTGGATGTTCCTTTGTTACAGATCTTTGCCGCAACAACAAATCGTCCACAAAATTGGGGAATGCATCAGGAGTTGCCATGATTAATTATAAACATAGGCAAAAACAATCACCTGAAGCAAATGAAGGCAGATCTAAAAATGATCTAAATTCAGGCTCTCTCCGCAGCGCCTCAATTCCGATGTAAATCGCATTCAACAGGACCACAGCAGCAAAGAAGGCATCGAAATAGGGGCTGGAGGAGAGCTGCCTTCGATGATCAGATCGATGATCAAGACGTTTTTGGGGTCCCGAAGACCACTCATCGGAATTTGTTTGTTGTTTGATTTTTTGAGATTTCAATTTTTGTTTTGCTTGCGTTGATCCGGTTGGGTATAGCCTTTCGGTTGAAGCTTGGTACACCTTCGGTTGGGTCCCAGTTCTACGGTATCTCCTGGCTTAGTTTGCGTTTTAGTTTTACACTCTTCTGCAATTTCTTCTATAACTAGTTCCCTAGCTTTGTTTTGTTCTGATTTGAGATTGAGTCCTAGTTCTGGCTAGAGTATGCTAGAGTTATAGTTTGATCCTGTTCTAGTCTTGAGTTCGGGCTCTAGTCCTAGCTACAGCGGTACCTTGCTCTGATTCAAGCTTTAGATTATACCCTAGCCCTAGCTCCAGCAATGGCTTGATCTTGTTCTAGCTTTAGGCTGAAATCTAGTAGCCCTAGCTATAGCTTTAGGTTGAGATCTAGTTGTAGCTATAGCTATAGCTATGCCTGAAGTCTCCTTCTCGACGGATTTTTGCTTTGGCTGCCGTTCCCCCCCACATATATGATCCCGTCTTCCGCCCGCGAGGTACCCCCCCCCTCCCCACTTCCCTTCTATTTGCAAGCTATTGGCAGCATTTCTGAAGTCCAGCCACGTATTTGCCAGGTTTTTGCAGCGATTCTGACTACCAGCCTCCCATTTACTAGGTACATGCTACCCTTTAGACGACCTGCGTAGCACACATACTCCCTCAAAGTACCTACGTGCTATCTATAGTTATATATACATGTGCTATGTATCTACTTCCTAAATATATATATATATATATATATTTACATGTTATAGATACATACATATGTATATATATATTCATATTCATATTCGTATTTAAACAATTAAATAAATAAATAAATAAATAAATAAACAAATAAATAAACAAACAAATAAATAAATAAATATATATGCATATACATGTCTATACATAAATATACATATATATATATATATACATATATTCACATATATATATACATAAGCATTTATATATAATTATATATATATATATACGCAGTACCACACCCCCACCACACCACAGGGGGGGTGGGGAACATAGCTCCTGTATACTGTATCCATACCCATCCCTACTACTAACTACTACTAACCCCCCCCACCCCACTACCCACCCACAGGGGGGGCGGGGAACATAGCTCCTGTATAATGTATATACATACCCATTCCTAGTACTAATTGCTACTCACTACTACTAACTACTACACCCCCCCACCCCCTACCCACCGCACAGGGGGGGGCGGGGAACATAGCTCCTGTATACCCATACCCATTGGGGGGGGGAGGGGGGGGGGACCTGGGAGGCTGCATCATATATACTATAGTCTAGTCTGCTATAGTATAGTCTAGTATAGTATGTGAGGCAAACTAGCATTGACCTTATTTACAGCATCATCGTCTAGGTGGTCATCATCAGCATCATTGTCCTCAACATCATCCTCCTCCTCCTCATCATCATGATCTTCTGTTCTCTTTCCTTAGCCTCCTTCATCATCCCATCTCCGTCTTGTCTTTTGTTGCTCCGGCTCGTCCCTGGGATGCAGCATTTTTCCACGTTTTCTCCACATTTTCCAGCCCGTTCCAGGCAGAAGTACGCTCGAACATGTATTAACATGCAGCTTTTGCGCACTTTCAGCACCTGCAACTCCTGCCCTTCCTCTGCACGGCCTTCTCCGCATGCACTCTCACAGCCATGCCGCTTGGATCTACCAACTTGACTCCTTTCTGCTCAATCTCCAAGGTCTTGCACTCACAGCATGGATGGGAAGTTTAAAAAAACGTCACCCGTTCTGGAGGACGAAACCAACCCACAACATGTTGAGCCATGGTGAATCAATTTTGAATTGAGTCACTACCTGAACGTGTCGGAAAAACGATGGATACCAAGTGCTGCATACAAGGTCATTTACAGGGACCATCTTGATTGGATCCCGGAAGTCTAAACCACCTCAATTATCATCAATGAACTATGTATATATATATATTATCTGGCATTGTTTCTGGTGTTATAATGTTACACAAATATCGTAGAATCAATAAATATCTATAAAAACCTTGACCCTCCGAACCCGCAAAATTCGCAGGATGGCACTTGAAACCCATGGTTTCAAAACAAAACCCACGGTTTTTCTTTTTCCTCAAATTTCAAGACCATGCCCCCAAATGCTCTGATTTTATTACAGTAATGCGGTGGGTCCTCAAAAAGTGTTGCATTTCTGTCCAGTCTACTGGTCATCGACGCCCAAACACAAGCCCAAACACAACAAAAACATATTATATTTTCACCAGTTCCAAGGGGTTCCAACCCATGTTTTATATCATGGGTGCACACGGGTAAATCACGGGTTGAACATGGGTTGAACACGGGTTAGAGAAAACCTGGTTATTTTCAAAATACACGAGGTTTAGCCTACAAACCCTGGGTATTCCTTAAGAAAACACGGGTTGACACGGGTAAATCACGGGTTGAACACGGCTTGCTAGAGGCTTGAATTCCCGAACCGTACTTTTCCATGTTGGGGTTGCGTTTTTCTCTACTTCAGATGTATATGTAGATGTGGCTTTCTGACGGTAAGGCTGAATGGAGGAAAATCTAAGAAACATATGATGAAGCAAAGCAGGAGAAGTGTTGGAAGCAAGCACTATATCGAATTCGGACAGTTTGTAAGAAAACCCTTGTTTTTTGTGACAAACCCAAGGTTTTTAGCATGATCACGGCTAAACCCAGGGTTTTAGCTTGCACCCGACAAATTTGTAGGGTTTGGAAGCTAAGGGTGTATATATATATGTGTGTGTGTGTGTGAATATATCATATTTATTTGACAGCCTGCGGCATTCCGCCAGCCATCCGGCCTTTGGCCTCCAGGCCCAAAGCAGGGCTTGTGTAAAGCTGGTTGGTGTAAAACACGCACCCTTCTCCGAGAAGAGAAGGCATACAAACAATGGTGGTTCCTTCCTCCCACCCTCTTGGTGGGAAATCAGTTATCTATGATTACTGTACTATCTATAGTCTATAGACTGTAAATGTCTATAATGCGAAATTTGCCAGTCCTGCATCGTTTAGCTCCAAGTCTCTTTGCCCATGATGGTTTTTCTCCCGGCATCTCCGAGTCCGCGATGTCGATACGCTTCTTCTCAAGGTCCGCGTGTGCTTCTTCCGCATCCTCCCGCAGCTGATTGTCCTTCGCCAGTGAACCAACCCATCCCGAAAGCTACTGGTTGCGGCTCCTGAACAAATCACAACACTTATCAAAGATTTAATTCAGTGAGAGCAACGTATTCTTCACCATCAAGAACCAGGCTGGAACTGGCAGGGCTTGGCCAAGTTGGCACAAAAAAAACAAAGTTAAGGCCCCGGAAACTGGCTGCGCCCTCTCGTAAGGCAACTTGAATCCCGAGGCATCCCAAAATTGGATGAAAGGATAAATTACAACCCAACCATGCAAAACCCAAGTTTGAGTGGTAGACACCAGGGTGTTCTGTAAATATCTGTAAATTTTGGAAACTTCTCTGGAAGATGGATGAAGATGGTGGGTTCCATTGGCAGGTCACTCACTGACGAGGGCTCAAAGTAGCCTCTCTGGGCCTGGCTCCCAACAACTGCTCTCACATGGGTTTGTCCAAAAAATCGGACAGGTGCCCCAAAATCCAATGGTGGGACTTGATGTATCTGTATCATCACCCGCAGTGGCGATTTTGAGGTATATGTAGGTATATTACTACCAAATTTCTCGGCAAACCATGCCCATTCATCTCTCGGAAAGTCAAAATGACTCATTTATCCCCCATAGAAGTGATCATCCACTAGTAAGTCCGGCTAATCTATGAGTCAGGAAAATGCGGCTAGGACCTCATCCCGCCAAGTGCCAAGATTCGAAGGTGGTATAGCTTTTTAAAAGCTGCGGGGCCACACTGTTCCGGCTGCCTTCGCTGGCCAGCTGCATGGAGCTTATAGCTGCAGTCTGGGGGTCGTCAGGGGACGGGGACGACATGTCCAGGATGTTCAGAGACTCCACACCTGAAGTTGGCTTGGACCCTGTGCGAAGCCAGGAACCGCAGGACCCATGGCATTAAAAAAGGCCAAAGATTTGCCCATTCACAACGGTGATTTTTCACAGCTACAGCCAACGAGCAAACAAGAATGGATGGTCTTAATGGATCTTAATGGATGATGAGAAAGTGGTCTCCAACATCACAGTTGCACATTGAGTCCCAGTGGCTATGCCCAACATGGCATAGCACCACCCTCCAGATCCAGGGTTTACCTACGTCTATGTTTGCCTATTCCAAGCACCCATTAAAAATCAATCAAATCATAAAATTAGGAAAAAACTGGAAAACAACACGGAAAAATATGATTGACTGCAAAAAAGAATAGGAAAAACATGGTGAACCAAAAACCCGTGATGTTGATTGACCTCCTATTTTTTCCAAGTTGTTCCTGTGTTTTTCCTATGTGTTCCCTTTTTTTCCCTAATTTTCTCCGAGATTTTTGCAAACATTCAATTCCCCAGAATTGTTCATTTTTAGCCAAAATTCAAAATTCATTTTTGGCCACCTCCATGTTTTCCCAGTTTTTCCTACGTTTTCCTAATTTTCTGGAAACGTGAAAACATGTAAAAAACCTCGAGAAAATTAGGAAACACATACATAGCATTTGGCAACTGGAAAAACCTCGAGAAAATTAGGAAAACACCTAGGCATAATGGTTTCCAGTTGCCAAATGCAATGAATACGTATACGATTCCCATGTTTCCGAATTTTCTCGATGTGTTTGCATTTTTTACGTTTGCGGAAAATTAGGAAAGATAGAAAAAATGGAGGCGGCTACAAATGAATTTTGAAACGTGGCTTTAAAAAATCTGAAAAACTGTCAAAACTTCGAGAAAATTAGAAAAAACAGGAAAACATTGAGAAATTCGGAAATAGGAAAACCATTATAAGAAAAATATAGGAAAAACAAGAAACAAAAATAGGAGGTTAAAATCACGGGTTTTTGTCCACCATATTTTTCCTATTCGTTTTTAAGATCAATCCTTTTTTGTCTCTATGTTTTATTATTTTGTGAACTCCCAGGATTTGCTTGTAATTCGAAGATAAACCTAGATGTTTATCTACAAAATGTTGCGAGGGAGCCTCTCCAAAAATGTGGATGATTCGTACTTCATTTTCCAAGATGGGTAGGAAAAAATATATGTTCATATATGTTCCATCATTTTCCAAATCGCCGCTCTTAAACTTCTCCGAGGTTCCAGAATTGAAGCCGTATGACTTCAGTGGTCGTCGAAGCAGCTCAAGTTTGTCGTCGAGCAATTGGAGCATATGGATGGTTTCCTGGATCTTGCTGGGGAATTCAGAAATTCGGATGAAAGGCTGGGTTTCAACTTCGAAGTTCGCCACCTGGGCAAACATCCTATCTCGTCCTCCCACTTGTGGATCCATCTGGTGGGAAACTGCCAACCAAAGAACATGGTACCAGCAACAGCACTCGGTTTTTCTCCAGACCCCCCTAAAATCTCCCGTACTGGTACCCCCCGGCCGTCATCCCTTCCTGGTGCTGATGCTCGATCAATGTGATGAAGGACGACCGCACCGCACCTCGCTCCTGGAAGCTCTGGGACTTGGAGACCTTGGAGGGGTTTCCTTTCTGGTCCTTGATCCTTGGGGTTCCTCCAGTTAAAAGGGGGGATGTCGCAAAATGGCAATTCTTGTGCGAGGAAACCAGATAAACCAGTCACAAGAATTCCTGAGATTTTGGAATGACCAAATTTTTGCTATAGTTTTTGGACCAACCCAGGATTCTTTTTTCATTTGAACGTTTCTCAAACGAATTTCTTGGGGATCCCGATCCGATTGCTTGTGTTCCAAGAGGTTTCTCCGTGGATGTTTGTATCTGATCTAAAATCATTCCCAAAAAGATCAATTGTGCAAAATCCCAAACATGGTGATGATTTTGTTTTCAATTTTTTCATGCCTTAATATACGTTAGTTTACCCCAGTCTGATTGCGCAGATGCGTCCTTGTCATCACCATCCACGTCTTCCCCCATGGCAAACAAGGCGGAGCCGCTCCGGGTTTCCAACAAAAAAACTCACTTTGAGCCATTCGAACCAGTCATGGCTGGACAATTCGGAGTTTTTTTGCAGGAGAAACATATCATATGAAAAAACAAAAACGAAATTGTATATATTATATATATAACATTATTATATAATTGTATATGCAATCTTAGTCAATCTTATACATTAGATACATGTACTTATTTACAATAGCGTTTGGGGATGAAAACTGTTGCCAGCCAAATTCCCAGCTTGGATTGCCCGCACGGTTAACGGCTAGTCGTTAACTCGCAGTTGGTTCACTAATTCAAAACCAGGGAAATCCAACTCACGAATTGTGCCCCACAGAAACGGGATAGAGACAAGTGTCAAGGGGGAAACCAATAATCCCTTCGACCAATCATTAAAAAAGAAAGGACCTCAAAATGAACAATTCCAGTTTTCTCTCGGGAGCTATTTTAGTTTTGCGGGGAAGGAATGAGACAATTTTGTCATCAGGATTCAGCCAATCAAACTTGCGTACAATATTCCTTGCTGGAAACTTCCGCCACCCTCCTCGTGCGGGTTTTACGTTCAAAGGTCTACTTGTAGTTCATAACTATGTTCAAAAACCTCAGCTAGTGCTGTGGTGCTGCCGTGCTGCCCGCACCTTTTTCGCGGAAATCCGGGGGGCTGCTTTTGCAGCCTCGGGTCGCTGTGAAACCTGTCCAGACCAGGTCAAAAAATGAACAGCGTCCCAAGCTGCTGACATGGAGCTGCTCCTTTGGGATAGAAACATGTGATGAGCCATGAAGAATAAACCCCCAACTGTTGGGAATGTGGAACTTCTTCTGTTGTATCCTTTTGACCTGCCAAAGTCTGTTGTTCTTGCAATTATTGGGCATGGTTTCTTATGGGCTTTAGCGGTTTCCCGGATACATAAACTCTCGCGCACGGCGCCCTGGTCTTCATAGGTGGGAAACCCAATGCCATGAACCACTACCATTTGCTGATGGTTTGAATCCCACCCGTAAAAATGGTGATGACTTGGGGCCATGGTTTATGGCATTTTATGGCATTAACATGGTTTACCCACTTTATGCAGTGTAAGTGTGTGACAGATGATTCCTTATGTCCTGGACTCTGCTCAGAAAAGACATGGCCGACACTCCCCGCGTGCCCAGTGGGGCCCCGTCGATTTTCAAAGTGCAAATTGTTGCAAGTCGTCGCAGTTGAGATGTTGATTCATCCCAGAACGTGTGGCAATTGCAAGTCAATTGCATATATATGTTATATTGACTGTGTCTGAAAATACCCTCGATATTCCACAGTGAATAATTTTTGAATTTGTTGCTTGGGGTATAATTCCCCCACTTTGATATAAACGCATACATCATATCATATATTGTTTGTCCTATATCCATTTATACCTCCATTGTATCCCATTGAATCATCATGTTTGTTGGTTAAACCACAATTAAATCCTGATTGCACTGGTTTCTTACTGTAATTACCATTCAATAACCAGCCACTAAGAAAAGACGACGATTTGGGGACAACATGGTGCGCACCTTGGGGTGGGCAGATCTTGCCCAACATTTTCCGGACGATGCCCCAAGTCTTGCAGCGTTCAGCACGATTTTTGGGGGGCAAAAAAAGGGAAGACACCAAACTAGGTGATGATGCTACCCAAGGTTGTTATTCTCTTACCATACGTATCAATAGGTCATGTAATGTATGAATATTGTGATCATTGCGATTACCATTATGCCAGTATGATCCAGTATGTATCAATTCTAAGGGATTGGTTGGTTGGTATCAATAGATTCCGCCTTGAACCACTTCTGGGAGAAGGTTAGCCACATCCCCATCGATCCTTCGTTTTCGGGGCATCCAGGGCCACTACGGTTTGCATCGCTGCACACTTGGGTTCTACCGATCCAGCTGGGGCTGGTACTGGCTCTGCCTGCATCCGGCTCTACCAGATTTCAGATCTGGCATTCATGCTTTCAAGTTCCGAGGCAAATTCTGGTTCAAAAACCCAAAGGAAACTATTCCTGGGATGATCCTGTCTGAACTATACAAATTCACCAACCTGAGTTAAGCTCAATTGGACAAATTGGAATACTTCCCGTTGCTACCCAGCATCTGTGGTGACGTCATTGTGATGTCGGGACCCAAGATGTCCAGCATTGATCATGACAGGGAAAGCAATGGTTCTGGGGCACCCCGATGTTGAGAAGCACAAAAAATTATCAGGATAAACATGAAGTAATTTAAGCTTAAAACCTTTTGACAAGCCTCAACTGGATATTCCAAAACCTTTCAAACCATGTTAAATCATGTAATATCCCCCATTCTTGATGGTTCAACCCTCACGTTTGTTGGTGAAATCACGATGTTTCTTCGTGAAACCCCATGAATTCCATTCTGTGTGGCTTCGGATCCAGGCGTTCGAGTCGTCTCAGAGATCTTTGGTCTGCGGTTCGCGGGATTCTCGTGAATTCGTTGCCAGGATGAAGTTCAGAGCCTGACAATCAGAATGCGACCATTTTTTTTGGCTGAAATCATCCAAGTCCGGCCTGAACGACGAGTTTAGAAATCCATGGTGACCTGTCGATCTCCCTGTTCTGTCAATACATATAGAGACATACAAGATGAGTATATGTATATAATGGATGGTATGGATATGATCAAAATATGATTAAAGTAGATTATGCAAATACATTGTAAATTACATGAAAAAATGCTAAATGTATACAAGATATGTGCGTGATTGTGCGCGTGTGTGTGTATATATATATAGTGGAAACTAAGGCAGGCCGTGGAGTTGGGTAACTGGTTAGTAACCCCTTGTAACTGGGCATCTCATAGGTTACCAACTGAGATACTCGGTGGCCCATCTACAGTAAGTGGCTGATGATCAAATTGCCTCAAGGGAGAACTGATGAAATTTGGGAAGTGAGATGAAGTGACAACCACCATTGTTGAGGTATGGTTTCAATACCCCCTCGAATGATTTTTGTGGCAAATGGGGTATAGTTTATTGCTGGGTCCAACACATGACCTGGATATATCTCTGTAGATAGGATGCATGAAGTCTATGTAAGATCTACGGTCTATAGGCCTATGTAATGGGGTGCAACTGCAAACATCCTGGCCTTTTGTGACTTTTTTGGTACAGGACCTCAACTAGTCACTTGGATCTGGCGATGCAAAATGCAACATGAGACAAGCCAATTTTCACGGATAATCAAACATGGCAATGAACACTCTTGTGCAAATGGAGGAGGTATCCTGTTTTCTCAAGTGAGATTCTAATATCTTAAGTTGCATGGGGGCAGCCAGTTACCGTCCGAATCCTATCCACATTTTACAACAGCGAAAGGACAATCCACCAGGCTGTCTGGGTTGTGGTCTTCCTGGTTTCTCATATCCAATTCAAGAATGGGAGCCGTTTCTTCATGGCTGCAGACTGTTTTGCCATCTTTGCCCCCTACGTAGACAGTATACCATGCACATGCGTTGGCGAGTATCCTCTCATTGCTGGTTTGCAACTGTGCCCACACACACTTGCACCCAAGGTCCCGCTGTTAAGCGGCACAAGCTTCAAAAAGTATACGGACGTGACAATCGGCTGTCTCGGGCTGGGCTGAAACAGCACCAACCAACTTTCATGTGGCAACAATCATGATCTCTCTCTCTCTCTCTCCATCGCCATCTCAGAGGGTCAACAATCATGGTTCCAATCACATCCCAGCACCCCCACAATATGAGTCAATGGGGAGATCAGATCATCATCCCAAATGACGCATTAGGAACGCTTCCGACACATGTTCCGCAGCAAAATCATGTAGACATATGTACACTAAGCCTTCAACTCTTCCAATAGGCCAACCATTTGGGGGCATAGGGAACCCTTTCCCAGTCACGCGTCACGGCCTCGTTAATTTGTGACAGTTCCATCTCTACAAAGTTTTGGAATTTGCCCTGGCTACGGATGAGCCATTGCTGGTCCTGTCAGCGTCGTCAACGCTGTCAGGCTGTCAAGATTGGAAAAAAAAGCAGTGACCATGTTCCCCGTGAAGTAGATATTTCCCCCTGAAAATATCCGATCTACCGAGAATGGTGCCATTCATAACCATTGGAATGCTTTGAACCAAAGCAAAATCCGGTCAATTATATACATATATATATATATACAAATTAAAATATAAATATAAATATATGGAAACAACCATGTTTTCTGGGATCATTTTACAGGAAAGCCATGGATCTCCATCTCCCCACCCAGCCACACGTCCTGCAGGACCTTCCCCAGCTCCAATCCACGCGCGTTTCCGCCAAGTCTGAGGCAACCCATGAAGAACTCCTGGCAGGGCTCTACCAGGCGATCTGGTCTGGAAAAGACCATGCAAAGCCCATGGAAAACCCACATCAACAGAGGTGGTGATCTTGAACAAGAATCAGGAATCTGCGATCGACATGTAAGAAATTTGCAGGCAAACATGGAGCTTAGCCATCAACAATTTTGGGTTAACCCACACTTGGGGTTCAAGAAGCAGTTCACCATTCAAACAGCAGGGTCAACGAGTGGAAAGCATGGCGCTGGATACAAAAATACATACATATTGTATGTGTATATATATATATATTATACATATATGGAGGTTTCCTAAAATAGTGGTACCTCTAAATCATCCATCATAATAGGAGTTTCCATTCTAAACCATCCATTTTGGGGTACCCCCATGTATGGAAACCCCCATAAATATGTACATATAGCGTGTGCATATATTAATCCGAGACTGGATCTTTATCAATTGAATTGAACATCATTGAACATCTACAAATCAAGTCATGAGGAAAACACACAATGGACACTTCTCACTTTTCACCTGCAAGCAGGCTTTCCACCACCATTCCAGCCACCAGGTCTTGGCTCCCACCGGGGCCGCCCCGGGCCCTCCTCAAGTTCGATTGAACCGCCCCCATCGGTATCAAGTAGCTTAAAGAAAGACCAAGCATCCCAAACATCTAAACCTTAGCCATCGGACCATCGGACACAGTCAGCGAGGCTGGGAACGGCTTCGGATGGTTTCAGCTTCAACCCGTGAAGAAATCATTGAAAATAGTAGCTAAAATGTAGCTAACTGGAATTGACCATCCCAGGTAAGCATGGAAATATATGGAAATCACAAAGGTTAAGCCACTTAAACATCCACTTAGACCAAATGCGGGCCCTCTCTGACAGCAACCTAAGAAAGCAGTCAGCCTTCGGAATCTCCAAAACCTAAGAAAAGATCTGCCCCGCTGGTCTTCACCACAGTTTTCAATGGTGTTTCAATTTCTGTTTATATACACTTACCCAAAATTGGGAATTAATCTACAGTATGTGAAACATTGTGACGCCCGGAGGATGTGTGGGAAGAATGATTCATCAACGTTGAACTTTCAAACACAGGTCATTGCAGAGTATGTATCCCTATAATATAGTAAAGGATTGCAATCAGAAACTTATCTTCACACATATTCTCACCACCTTTTGCCAAATGTTCATTCATCCATCAACTTATAATCACTTTTATGGCTAGAGGTCAAACATTAAGCACACCCCCATGAACGGTCCCATGGGCCTTACATTTTGATGATTTTAAATTTTGATCCAAGAAACCCAAGGTTTCCAACAGCTGTTGCACCGTGGGTGAGTTGATCTTCTCTTCTAACATGGCAAAGGTAATCGCCTCGTCGCCCTCGGCGTTGCTCGGAGAGTTCTCGCGGATCTCGCTGAAAACGGCGCGCATCTTCGACAAATGCGCCTGGATCACCATGTGACTCAAAGGGCCCCATGTATTTTTAGAATTGTTGCAGAAAAATATCTCCTTTAATTGTACACGCACTTCTGATTAATTGGATATCTGGTGTATAATATATATATATACACTCCATTTTGGCATCAAAGAAAAAAAACATTGTTTAATGTATTTTAATGTTAGAGATATGTTAGATATCTATGTTTGGGTCCAAAAATCTAAAAAAAACATGTGATTTCCAATTCATACGGATGGATCACCAGCCTGAAACCATGAAAATGAATTCCGGTGATTTCGCTGATGAATGGATGGTATTATATATGAGGGTTTCCTGAAATACTTGAAATTGGGTTTTAATGGGTCTTTCCGTTATAAACCAACCAGTTTGGGATGCCCCATTTATGGACACCCCCATATAACAATATGTGATAAATGGGAACCACTCAAAAAAGAAAATGAGGAAACATTAAAAGAATCATCTGTACTGAACGCTACTGAACCATCAAAATTTGTAGTTGAAATTGACCCTTTCATACGTGACTGGTTTTTGTTTCAAATTTGACCGTTTCTGAGGCAATGCCTGTCAGTGCTGGATGCAACATTGAACCCACCAAACCAAATTTCACTGGATTGGCGATTGAGGGTACCACCAACCATCACCTTGCAATGTTTTTTTCTGTTTACATCATCTACCAAAAAAACAATAGAAACAACGGGTAAGTCGCAACTTCCACCAAAAGATTGTTGGTTTCAACTCCCAAAACAACCAATGCGAAAACAATTTGCTTGCATCTTGCCGTTGCAAAAAAAAACCTTTCCCGCCTGTCTTCAATTGAAACACCACCAACCCGTGCCATGTTCGGCCCCAAACCCAAGATTCAATCCCAAGATTTTGACCAAAAAATTAAAGTATAGGTGATTTTTCAAATTGTTGAATTCCCGTTGGTTTTGAATATCCTGAAGTCTTCCCAAACATTGTAACATAGTTCCAACCTGCTGCTGGCCCGTCCCAACTGTCCCACCACTTGTCGTCCAGCGCCTCTTTGTTTTCCAGCGTGGACTGCACAACCGCTGCGTGATCTTGTTGTGCGGATTCTATAGCACTTTGACAGAACACGCCAGTGACCTGGCCGTTCCTGATGATGATGTAGACAATGACGCTGCCCGCACTTGCCCGCAGCCGCAGCGCAGGCCAGAGGCGATCGCCAGAATAGAATGGAGGTGGTTCTAGTCGTCGTGGCGCTGCAGCAACACATCAGCACGTGTTGCAGCTGCAAACCTTAGAAGTTTGTTGTCATGGTCCACCTTAGTAGGATCAGTAGTGGGCCATGCGAGTCTTTCCTGCAGCACATCGTGGGGTCTAATAGTAGGATCACGGTGTGGGTTCTGAGTACATTCCCAAAGCATGTGCTGCACAGTGGCACAAACATGTTGGCAATAAGGGCATGTTTCTTCAGCACCTCCCATGGCATTTCGACATTGAGGTGAAATGAAAGCACCAGTTACAACAGCCAGTTCGTGACTGTTGAGTTTTTTCTTGCGCAGAATATTAATGCGGGTCAGGTCACATGGAATGTCTGCACAAACCGTTGAGTCGCGTCGGTCAAGTTCCAAGAATTCCTCATATTTCTGATTCGCCAAGCATCTCTGAGCCTATGTGACAGCACTTCGGTCGCCTTTTCAGGCAGCGTGGTTGGTTGAATCTGAATAGTTTCAAGCATCGGGTGCGTCCAGGTCCAACTACCAGCCTCAGCGAACCCAAGTTCTTGCATGCCTTTTCTAAAGCTACCCGTCCAGCCACTCATTTTGGGTGGCCAGTTTTGCAACTGCATCTGTGTTTTGTGAACATAGCGGGTGAGGACTCGGAGAGTCGTAACCGTGGCAGCAAAACCTAAGTCCCACCAATGGCCAGTAAAAATTTGGAGTAAAGGTACGGCTGACTGCTTTGGCCACTGATGCAGCGCTTTTGCTCCCTGAAAGAAAGCGTTGCTTTCAGCATGAGTGGGTCTTCGAAACAGCCATCCCCAACTTGCTTTTGCTGGGGCACAAACCCTGGCAACTGCAGCTTTACGTGTTTTGGAACCTGGGAGGCACCTACATTTTCGAAGAACTTCTTTGGCCTCAGTGAGTCTTGTCAGTTCTCGGTCTTTGGCTTTTCTTTGGGTCACTCCCATGAACTGGAATCCCAACAAGGTGATGGAAGTGGAAACTGTTTCTGGAGGACAGCCGGCATCCTCGAGAGATCGGCAACCTTGAACGTTGCGGTGGTAATATTGCTCTTTGGTGGGGTTTTCTTGAAGACCAACCTTATTGCTCCAAACATGCCATTCATTTCGAACTTGCCATATTTCAGTCGCAGTGGAACAAGTGAAAGAACGATCATCGGCATATAAAGCTTGAACGCAACAAGGGTATTTTCTCTGAATGTGATTGGCAATGGGAGTAAGCAAAACACACATGCCTAACATGCTAAAGCAGTCACCTTGCGGCAGGGAGCGCTTGACAACATGGTTGTTTGGGAAAAATTCGTCATGGAGCTGAAGAAAACGGATTTGTTCGCTCCACATGCTTAACAACATGCGTGCAGCTTTGCGCGGCATACCTTGGTGGACAAAGAGTTTGCAGATTATCTCAGGGTCAGAATAATCGAAAGCTTTTGTCAGGTCAAGTGTACCAACCGGCCAGCTATGCATGTCTTTGAGGATTATGTGAGAGATAGCATCCTCAACACCTTTTTGGGGAATTCCCCCAAACATGAATTCGGGGGTGGATGTGTGGATCCATTCCTGAACCTCAGTTTGTTTGAATCTGGCTCGGCTGCAGATTCGCCAGATTATCGACATCACAGCTATGGGACGCATGTTGTCCGCCAGCATGCTGCCGTCAGCTTCAGGTGGTTTCCCTTTCGGGATATGCACTTGGCGAACACATCGCCATATGGTAGGAATGTTTCCGAGCTCTTCACAATGATCATAGAACTCGGACATGACCTGCCACATTTCGTCACTGAACAAACTAAGTTCCTCAGCTCTCCAGCCGTCAAGCCCCGGCACACTGCCGCGGCTACACTTGGTGGCAGAACGGAGTTGTTCCGGTGTGAGGCTTGGCCAGCTGTCAGGAGCAGGGCGTGGTGGAGTGTGAGTAACCAAATCATCCCAAATATCATCCCAAGAGATTTGACGTCTATTCCAAATATCGGCCCAAAATTCCCTGAGAATCCTCAGGCTGTCTTGGGTGGAGTGACTAGGAACAGAGTCTTTGGTTTTCTTAACCGCATTGCACATGGGAACAGATCTATGTCGCAGCCACCTGTATGCAGCCTTGTCATGTTCCATGTTGTTTCTCCATCGTTGAAGTCTGGTGTAGTCATCTTCATGATTGAACCGTTCCAAAAGCGTTTCAAGATGCCGAAGGTTTCTTTGTATACCCCAATCATGGTTGTACATAGAACACCGTCTGATTTTATTCCAGAGAACTCGGCTTTCAGTGATATTTTGCCTGTCTTGATCCAAGTTTCGCTGGGCTTCCCGCAACCTTCCAATCAATCTGCGCAGAACTCTTTGGCGGTGAGTAGCCATAGCTCCAGCAGGATGTCGTTTCATGTGTTCTTTCTGTTTAAGAGAGACCTCAGTGGCCTTTCCTTTCCTCAGTAAGGCCGGAGACACTCGCTGCAGCATGTCAGGGGCAGCAGCCCTGACTGCACAAACTAGGGCTTGAAAAAAAGTTTGCGAAAGCATCTGCCAGTCCTGGTCAACATTGACTGACCATCGCTCTGGAAGTTGTGTGGAAAACTGCGGCCAGAGCTGAGCCAATTTGATTTGGATTCGTTCAGCAACTTCCGGGTCCTTCGGGAGGATTCTAGGAATGTTGGCTTGTTGGAAACCTAAAACAGGTTCGGTAGATAAATCGAAAAAAGTTTTGACAATTTTGTGGTCGGCTACAACATCAGGAAGCGTTTCGACCTCAGTGGGCTCAAGGTTACTGATATAGTAGTCAATATCGCGGTTTCCTTGCCACCGCGTTGGGGTTTGAGTGGCATGAATACGAAATTCCCTAGGAATCAAGAAATGAAGAAAGGGATTCTCTTCGGGTGTGGCATTGTAATCCCCCCCCAAAATAAAACGATGTCTTGGAGCGAGAGAGTGGACAGTTTGAGCCACAGCTGCACTCACGGTTTCTGCATCACTGTTAGGAGCCAGGTAAGTGGAGATGACCAGAGTTGATCCCACCCACACAGCTTGGGCACTACCTCCTTTGTGAGTGTGTGACCAGGCCGGTCTACAAGGTAGTGAAGATTTAACCAAGACTGCAGCTCCTCCGTAGTGTCGATTGACGGTGCTTTGCGCACCGGAGAAAAAACTTCTGTCCCCCACAGACCAACAAGTTTTTTGAAATGTGGTCCATTCAGCCTGGCTAAAAGAGCATTCCTGAAGCAGCACAATCTGAGGTGCCTGCTCCTGGGTTTGGAGCAGCTGTTGTAAGGTCCACGATTGTTTGGGTCCTTGAGTGTTGCATGTCCAAACTGACACATGTTGATCCAAGTTGCGCAATCTTCGTGATCTTGGTCCTGGATGGGACGCTTCACCAATTCTCACAGCAACCTTATCATTATGGTCATGTTCTTTGGCTCTACGGCTGCGCTTGTTGGAGGATTGGGAGGCAAAAAGCTCCTCCCCCTGCTGCAGAGTCTTCCCCCATGCTTGACTGAGGGCTTTTTTTGGGTTTTAGTTAAAGACTGCCAATATCTTTTCTGAGACTGGAAACCTTTGGAGGTGGGATCATGTCCCAGGCATGGATTCGTCCAGATTTTGACAGCACCAAGTGGATTAACCTTGTGGCAAATTTTACAGGTCAGGTATCCCTTGGGAAACTTTTTAGCAGTGGAGTCCGGGTGGCGCATGGCATCCGGCGGAAGGACCTCAGTAACTAAGTGCCCTGCAGCTTGCGCCGCCTGAAAAGTGGTGGCAAACGGACCGCTAAGCCACTTGGCTGGCCCTTTACCGTTGACTCTTTTTTTGGTTTGGAAGTTTGCATTTGCAACCTCGGCTTCAGTCATACCAAGTCCGTTTCTGATGGCACCTTGGTTCGCAGGGTGTCGCAAAGCCATGTTTCGGATCCAACCCAGCAATTGAGTCGGGATAGGTTGAGTTTCATCAGTGCATGCGGTGGTTTTGAATCTACATGGTGTCCCTTTTCGTCCGCATTTGGCACAAACAAGCACGGACGTCAAATCAAGTTTGCGTCTCTCTTCTTTGGGGTTATGTTTGAGAAGAATTTGGCGAACATCATGCCCCGTTTGCGGAGCCCAAACTTTCAGGTTGTCAGCGACCTTCTGTTGTTTGAGCTGACCTATATGTCTGCCTCGCAGTTTCATACGAGCTCGAAGGCCTTTGTCAGTTCTTTGTTTCTTCCTGTACGCCTGAGTTGGATTTGTGTCAGGGTGTGCCTCGGCAAAATGTTTGCGGACACTAGCTTCGTGCCACACTAGCTTCGTGCCAAACTTTTGGCAACAGTGGGAGTCCTTTCCCGCATTCTGGGCAACTCCAGGCTCTGCCACTTTCAGGAAGTTCCGAGGTCGGGACTGTGATCTGAGTTTGAGCACCGAGTCGCGGGCATTCAGCTCTTTCGGAATCTGTATGTCTATTTTTCAGGTGTGAACTTTTTGCAGCTTGAAGCTTGGCTCTCGCTTGCAAACCTGCAGGAATTCTGATTTCATGCCGGCAGTCAGGCAGCGGACAAACCCATACCTGAGGTCCTTGCGGTTTGGCAAGCGTCTTAGCATCCAGCCGCTTGAGGCGTCGAGGATATGGAGCAGTGTCAGGGCGAAAGTCGCATTCTGTGTTGTCATTTTTGACTGCGCCTTTGTCCTTAGTACCCGACCGGTCCTTGGTCAGGTTGTCTGTCAAATTGAGGTGAGTTTCTGAGGTTAAAGATAAAACCGAAGCTTTATCGTTCTCAGAGGGTGCAAGAAACTTCATGTCTTCAATCCTTGAGTCACAACTGCTTTGCTTGAACCTGCATCTTTTGAATGGTCTTGCAACCGTTTCACTCGGATGCTGCAACTGCTGGGATTTGATGGCAGCACGCGGAGGTTCGCAGGAGTGAGGGGAGGCAGCCAAGGTAAGAAGAGAGGGTGAGCGCGGAGGATGGGGTCGCGCAAGGGCACCCGAAGAACCACCACCCGCCGCATGGCCGTGCACAACCGCGCGCAGACGCGGAGGAGAAGACGCGGAAGGAACCAAGGAGTGCAGGGACGGCGCGCGCGTGATCATCACACCCCCACCCGAGGATCCGCGAAAGGAGGAGGCGGGGAGAGTATGGAGCGAAGGAGCATGGGAAGAGCCAGGGGAGAGCGTGTGCAGGGTTTTAGGCGATTCTCCAACGCTTGGTCCAGCGCCTCCAAGTGCTTCGGCCTCGGGTTTGGCTGTCTCTCGCGCCCAGTGTTTGGGCACCTTAGTCATGCCGTCCTGATCCTGGGGTGGTCGGACGGATTGATAATGTTTGTCGTTTCTGTACACCACCAGGATTGGTGCTTCTTTTTTCATTCTGGGCATCCCCTGTGGACTCCACTCAGGAGCGAAAGTGAATCTTTCCAGAACTTCATCTTTTTGATTCCACACCACTATGCAGCATGATTTCACCTCTGCTGCTGCTTGCAGCAGCAGTCCACATATCCAGTGAGTTTGCTTCAACGCATTGTCACAAAAGGCAGGAAAGGCCTCTTTCCCACCTCTGACATGGTTTTCGTACCTATCTTGATGTTTGCGAACATGTCGTACCACTTCCGTACGAAATAGATTGGCATTTTTGATGCATTCTTCTTTGGAAAGAGTCTCACCAGTGGTTTGATAATGAAAGTTGTCTATTAATGCCCGGTACCCACAGTCACCGCATCCACCTTGATCGGCCAGCGTCCAGTTTTGGGTTAAGGCATCCGTCAAATTACCAAGAGACTGCGAGGTTGGCTTTGAACTCTGCTTGTCAATCGCTTCAGGCTGAGTCTGAGAGTCCAACTGCGTTTTTTCGACTTCCATTGGGTCCTTATTTTCATCGCCCTTTTCGGGCTTCTCAGCGGCAGATCTGGACCGATGTCGCTCATCGGGTTCTTTGGCCTGCCTCTTCGCGGGGCGCCCCCGCGTGTTGGCCGTCTGTGGAGGCTGATCCTTAATTTCATCCCATGTCTTCCTTGGTCCTCTGACTGCAGTGGTGCTGTTTGGCGCTGCAGGTTTATGGACCGAGTCGTTGACTATTATGGTAAACACAGTGGCACCTTCATACACCCAAAGACCCTGGTCGTATGGGTATGCAACAGGAGGCATTCCACAGGCGTTCCAAAAAATTTTTCTTGTTGACCCTTCTTCTATTGTGAATAGTCATTTGGGTCCATCCTTGTTGTTTGAGGAAATCAACCAGTTCTTCCGCCATCCAGTCCCTGGGAACTCCAGAAATCTGAATTCGTTTGGGTTTCTTTTCGATGTCTTCATCTGATTTCTTTGTGAAACCAATGTCATTTCCCAACCCTAACCCTTTCCGTAAGCACATCGGCTGGCTTCTCTCGCCTGAAAGACGAAGGCATCTCTGGTAGTATGCTTCATCGGTTTCATCTTTTTCATGTTGGTCCACACAAAATGCGGACGTTCCTTAGAGGTATCAATATTCTTATTGATAAAAATACCTTTTTTCCCTGATTTTTCCAGGAGGGTTTCCGCATCTTTTTTGGTGAGCTTAAGCCATCCTACCAAACTTGAACTTTGTTTCTGCCATTCCTGTCTTTCCCACCTGCCACCTGTGAGGACATGTGCACGACATCCAAAAGTGGCCAAGTCGGAAATGACATCAACGACACGTTCCTTTTGGGGTTCAGATACAAAGAGTTCTCTATAGTGAGAGGGAACGACAATTCTGACCAATTCCCTTTCAACCGTAGTAACATTGTTGGGATCAACTTTAACAGGGTGAGTTCTCCAAGGGTAGTCAGAGCCTAAACCGAGCAAGGCAATGCCTTCGACCTTGGCATGTTGGTTTGTCCTTTGAAGCCTGGTCCTGCTCAGTGTGATGCCAAGCTGATTCATTGCATCAGCTGACAAAACCAAAGTGAGTCCTTTCGTCAAACCAAAGCTTGTGTACAAGTCACGAAGTTCTTGGGTGACCTTCTGTCATGACTGCAGCAAATATTTCCATCCCAGTCTTTTCCTTCCTTAATGGCCTGGCAAACTGTTTGCGCATCCACAAGTTTGATTGGCTTGTTCCATTCAACTGGGTTGAGAGCTCGCACCTTGGCAAGGTTTGGAGTATTCTGTTGAGGTTTGTGAACCTCAGTGTCTTGTTTCTTTTCATTATGTCTGGGGTTGTGGTCCACTGTGGTAACTTTGTCACCACGCTTGTCCCACCACCACCATCCTGTTTGTGGGTCTCTGCAATACTGTTTCCACGCACCATTCATTTTCCACCATCCTGTCTCAAGAATGGTGTAGTCTTCATCTTTGTTGTCCCGCAGCTGCTCTTGTCTAGACGGGTCAGGTTTGGGCTCCTGTTTCACCGTTTTCTTTTTCTTAAACATCTTTTTGGGTGAATTTTGACCGACCACTTGACCTAACAAGGACATCACGGATTCAAACTCTTTCGGAAAAGAACCTTGGTTAAGACATACCTTCAAACCTTGGATCAAACTCCTAACCGCGGCGTTGTCATTGTCACTGTAATTCTTTTTCCTTTGCGTCCTTCGTTTATATCCACCTTGCAACCACTCAGAGGCAAAAATGCAATTGTTCGCATCAGGCTTGTACCAGCTCAGTGCATCATATCCAAGTGGCCATTCTTCGGGTCTCGGAAAACCCGAATAGAGGAAAGAGTATGACAGGGAAACATCCATGCCATTGGTTCGAACATATGTCCATCTCATCCGAAGCTTCAAAGCACATCGTCTGTGTTTCAGGCGTGCTTTTCCGAGTCTGTGCGTGCTGCATTTTCTAGCAGCACATGCAACATGTGGTTTCAACAACTTCTGACAGCGTTTGAGATCACTGCATTTTTTCACTGAGCGTTTGTTTTTCAAGCGTTTGATGATTCGTTTTCGTTTGCGTTTGTCTTGAGCCCGTTTGAGACATGCAAGCACAAATTGCTTAGTGACACCGTACCTAAGCAACCAGCCGCAAATTTCTCCCATGGTGCCCAAACAAAACCAGATAAGAAAGGGTGACCAATGAATTTTTTCATCAAACCATCCCATCTCAAAATTCCACATTTCGAGGGGAAAAGATTCCCAGGGGCGAAACCCAATTTTCCACCATTCCAAACCCAAATTCCACATTTTGGAGGAAACAAAATTCAGAGGGTAAAATCCAAACTTCCCATGGTGACACCTAGCGACCAAATCCAAAATCACATTGAGGATCCCAGGGAATTTACGTTTTGAGGGGTCAGAACCAGAACCGTAGGGGTGGATATCGAAAGTAGTTGCACTTACTTCCGTCAAAAGTCTGAAACCAGCTTCCACATCCACGGAGCCATATTCGCTCAGCGCATCTGCAATCTGCCGCCCGCTGCGAGGCACATCGATTGTCAGCTGCCATTTTTTCCCGTTGCGGGTCATCTCTGGGGGGCCGTTAGACTGAGTTGTGGCATTTTCCACAATCAATCCAGGGCGGCCGGTGTAATTGACGTCATGGTTGGCGGCCAGGTCCTTGTTGGTGTCAAATGCAGCACAGCAAGGCACAGACCAGCAAAGCATCAGCAGCCAGCCAGCCATCATCCTAGGATTGGCCTTATGGCTCTTGTCTTTTTTGGCGATTTGAAAAATCGCTCTCTTCGTGCAATGCACATTCAAATTCTTGAATTGGTTCTTTTTGTCTTCCTTTTTTGACTTTTGTTCTTTTTCTTTTTCTTTTGTATTTTTCTTTTCAAATTCTTCTGCAACAAACGTGGGCCATGCCACGTTAATTTTCTCTCCTGCCTGGCACCCGTGACGAGCCCGCAGCGACCGTGCCACTCTGCTGTGGCTGGAGGCGCAGGAGAAGCTGCTTACGACATTTAAATCTGGATGATGATGTAGACAATGACGCTGCCCGCACTTGCCCGCAGCCGCAGCGCAGGCCAGAGGCGATCGCCAGAATAGAATGGAGGTGGTTCTAGTCGTCGTGGCGCTGCTGCAACACATCAGCACGTGTTGCAGCTGCAAACCTTAGAAGTTTGTTGTCATGGTCCACCTTAGTAGGATCAGTAGTGGGCCATGCGAGTCTTTCCTGCAGCACATCGTGGGGTCTAATAGTAGGATCACGGTGTGGGTTCTGAGTACATTCCCAAAGCATGTGCTGCACAGTGGCACAAACATGTTGGCAATAAGGGCATGTTTCTTCAGCACCTCCCATGGCATTTCGACATTGAGGTGAAATGAAAGCACCAGTTACAACAGCCAGTTCGTGACTGTTGAGTTTTTTCTTGCGCAGAATATTAATGCGGGTCAGGTCACATGGAATGTCTGCACAAACCGTTGAGTCGCGTCGGTCAAGTTCCAAGAATTCCTCATATTTTCTGATTCGCCAAGCATCTCTGAGCCTATGTGACAGCACTTCGGTCGCCTTTTCAGGCAGCGTGGTTGGTTGAGTCTGAATAGTTTCAAGCATCGGGTGCGTCCAGGTCCAACTACCAGCCTCAGCGAACCCAAGTTCTTGCATGCCTTTTCTAAAGCTACCCGTCCAGCCACTCATTTTGGGTGGCCAGTTTTGCAACTGCATCTGTGTTTTGTGAACATAGCGGGTGAGGACTCGGAGAGTCGTAACCGTGGCAGCAAAACCTAAGTCCCACCAATGGCCAGTAAAAATTTGGAGTAAAGGTACGGCTGACTGCTTTGGCCACTGATGCAGCGCTTTTGCTCCCTGAAAGAAAGCGTTGCTTTCAGCATGAGTGGGTCTTCGAAACAGCCATCCCCAACTTGCTTTTGCTGGGGCACAAACCCTGGCAACTGCAGCTTTACGTGTTTTGGAACCTGGGAGGCACCTACATTTTCGAAGAACTTCTTTGGCCTCAGTGAGTCTTGTCAGTTCTCGGTCTTTGGCTTTTCTTTGGGTCACTCCCATGAACTGGAATCCCAACAAGGTGATGGAAGTGGAAACTGTTTCTGGAGGACAGCCGGCATCCTCGAGAGATCGGCAACCTTGAACGTTGCGGTGGTAATATTGCTCTTTGGTGGGGTTTTCTTGAAGACCAACCTTATTGCTCCAAACATGCCATTCATTTCGAACTTGCCATATTTCAGTCGCAGTGGAACAAGTGAAAGAACGATCATCGGCATATAAAGCTTGAACGCAACAAGGGTATTTTCTCTGAATGTGATTGGCAATGGGAGTAAGCAAAACACACATGCCTAACATGCTAAAGCAGTCACCTTGCGGCAGGGAGCGCTTGACAACATGGTTGTTTGGGAAAAATTCGTCATGGAGCTGAAGAAAACGGATTTGTTCGCTCCACATGCTTAACAACATGCGTGCAGCTTTGCGCGGCATACCTTGGTGGACAAAGAGTTTGCAGATTATCTCAGGGTCAGAATAATCGAAAGCTTTTGTCAGGTCAAGTGTACCAACCGGCCAGCTATGCATGTCTTTGAGGATTATGTGAGAGATAGCATCCTCAACACCTTTTTGGGGAATTCCCCCAAACATGAATTCGGGGGTGGATGTGTGGATCCATTCCTGAACCTCAGTTTGTTTGAATCTGGCTCGGCTGCAGATTCGCCAGATTATCGACATCACAGCTATGGGACGCATGTTGTCCGCCAGCATGCTGCCGTCAGCTTCAGGTGGTTTCCCTTTCGGGATATGCACTTGGCGAACACATCGCCATATGGTAGGAATGTTTCCGAGCTCTTCACAATGATCATAGAACCCGGACATGACCTGCCACATTTCGTCACTGAACAAACTAAGTTCCTCAGCTCTCCAGCCGTCAAGCCCCGGCGCACTGCCGCGGCTACACTTGGTGGCAGAACGGAGTTGTTCCGGTGTGAGGCTTGGCCAGCTGTCAGGAGCAGGGCGTGGTGGAGTGTGAGTAACCAAATCATCCCAAATATCATCCCAAGAGATTTGACGTCTATTCCAAATATCGGCCCAAAATTCCCTGAGAATCCTCAGGCTGTCTTGGGTGGAGTGACTAGGAACAGAGTCTTTGGTTTTCTTAACCGCATTGCACATGGGAACAGATCTATGTCGCAGCCACCTGTATGCAGCCTTGTCATGTTCCATGTTGTTTCTCCATCGTTGAAGTCTGGTGTAGTCATCTTCATGATTGAACCGTTCCAAAAGCGTTTCAAGATGCCGAAGGTTTCTTTGTATACCCCAATCATGGTTGTACATAGAACACCGTCTGATTTTATTCCAGAGAACTCGGCTTTCAGTGATATTTTGCCTGTCTTGATCCAAGTTTCGCTGGGCTTCCCGCAACCTTCCAATCGACCATCGCTCTGGAAGTTGTGTGGAAAACTGCGGCCAGAGCTGAGCCAATTTGATTTGGATTCGTTCAGCAACTTCCGGGTCCTTCGGGAGGATTCTAGGAATGTTGGCTTGTTGGAAACCTAAAACAGGTTCGGTAGATAAATCGAAAAAAGTTTTGACAATTTTGTGGTCGGCTACAACATCAGGAAGCGTTTCGACCTCAGTGGGCTCAAGGTTACTGATATAGTAGTCAATATCGCGGTTTCCTTGCCACCGCGTTGGGGTTTGAGTGGCATGAATACGAAATTCCCTAGGAATCAAGAAATGAAGAAAGGGATTCTCTTCGGGTGTGGCATTGTAATCCCCCCCCAAAATAAAACGATGTCTTGGAGCGAGAGAGTGGACAGTTTGAGCCACAGCTGCACTCACGGTTTCTGCATCACTGTTAGGAGCCAGGTAAGTGGAGATGACCAGAGTTGATCCCACCCACACAGCTTGGGCACTACCTCCTTTGTGAGTGTGTGACCAGGCCGGTCTACAAGGTAGTGAAGATTTAACCAAGACTGCAGCTCCTCCGTAGTGTCGATTGACGGTGCTTTGCGCACCGGAGAAAAAACTTCTGTACCCCACAGACCAACAAGTTTTTTGAAATGTGGTCCATTCAGCCTGGCTAAAAGAGCATTCCTGAAGCAGCACAATCTGAGGTGCCTGCTCCTGGGTTTGGAGCAGCTGTTGTAAGGTCCACGATTGTTTGGGTCCTTGAGTGTTGCATGTCCAAACTGACACATGTTGATCCAAGTTGCGCAATTTTCGTGATCTTGGTCCTGGATGGGACGCTTCACCAATTCTCACAGCAACCTTATCATTATGGTCATGTTCTTTGGCTCTACGGCTGCGCTTGTTGGAGGATTGGGAGGCAAAAAGCTCCTCCCCCTGCTGCAGAGTCTTCCCCCATGCTTGACTGAGGGCTTTTTTTTGGGTTTTAGTTAAAGACTGCCAATATCTTTTCTGAGACTGGAAACCTTTGGAGGTGGGATCATGTCCCAGGCATGGATTCGTCCAGATTTTGACAGCACCAAGTGGATTAACCTTGTGGCAAATTTTACAGGTCAGGTATCCCTTGGGAAACTTTTTAGCAGTGGAGTCCGGGTGGCGCATGGCATCCGGCGGAAGGACCTCAGTAACTAAGTGCCCTGCAGCTTGCGCCGCCTGAAAAGTGGTGGCAAACGGACCGCTAAGCCACTTGGCTGGCCCTTTACCGTTGACTCTTTTTTTGGTTTGGAAGTTTGCATTTGCAACCTCGGCTTCAGTCATACCAAGTCCGTTTCTGATGGCACCTTGGTTCGCAGGGTGTCGCAAAGCCATGTTTCGGATCCAACCCAGCAATTGAGTCGGGATAGGTTGAGTTTCATCAGTGCATGCGGTGGTTTTGAATCTACATGGTGTCCCTTTTCGTCTGCATTTGGCACAAACAAGCACGGACGTCAAATCAAGTTTGCGTCTCTCTTCTTTGGGGTTATGTTTGAGAAGAATTTGGCGAACATCATGCCCCGTTTGCGGAGCCCAAACTTTCAGGTTGTCAGCGACCTTCTGTTGTTTGAGCTGACCTATATGTCTGCCTCGCAGTTTCATACGAGCTCGAAGGCCTTTGTCAGTTCTTTGTTTCTTCCTGTACGCCTGAGTTGGATTTGTGTCAGGGTGTGCCTCGGCAAAATGTTTGCGGACACTAGCTTCGTGCCAAACTTTTGGCAACAGTGGGAGTCCTTTCCCGCATTCTGGGCAACTCCAGGCTCTGCCACTTTCAGGAAGTTCCGAGGTCGGGACTGTGATCTGAGTTTGAGCACCGAGTCGCGGGCATTCAGCTCTTTCGGAATCTGTATGTCTATTTTTCAGGTGTGAACTTTTTGCAGCTTGAAGCTTGGCTCTCGCTTGCAAACCTGCAGGAATTCTGATTTCATGCCGGCAGTCAGGCAGCGGACAAACCCATACCTGAGGTCCTTGCGGTTTGGCAAGCGTCTTAGCATCCAGCCGCTTGAGGTGTCGAGGATATGGAGCAGTGTCAGGGCGAAAGTCGCATTCTGTGTTGTCATTTTTGACTGCGCCTTTGTCCTTAGTACCCGACCGGTCCTTGGTCAGGTTGTCTGTCAAATTGAGGTGAGTTTCTGAGGTTAAAGATAAAACCGAAGCTTTATCGTTCTCAGAGGGTGCAAGAAACTTCATGTCTTCAATCCTTGAGTCACAACTGCTTTGCTTGAACCTGCATCTTTTGAATGGTCTTGCAACCGTTTCACTCGGATGCTGCAACTGCTGGGATTTGATGGCAGCACGCGGAGGTTCGCAGGAGTGAGGGGAGGCAGCCAAGGTAAGAAGAGAGGGGGAGCGCGGAGGATGGGGTCGCGCAAGGGCACCCGAAGAACCACCACCCGCCGCATGGCCGTGCACAACCGCGCGCAGACGCGGAGGAGAAGACGCGGAAGGAACCAAGGAGTGCAGGGACGGCGCGCGCGTGATCATCACACCCCCACCCGAGGATCCGCGAAAGGAGGAGGCGGGGAGAGTATGGAGCGAAGGAGCATGGGAAGAGCCAGGGGAGAGCGTGTGCAGGGTTTTAGGCGATTCTCCAACGCTTGGTCCAGCGCCTCCAAGTGCTTCGGCCTCGGGTTTGGCTGTCTCTCGCGCCCAGTGTTTGGGCACCTTAGTCATGCCGTCCTGATCCTGGGGTGGTCGGACGGATTGATAATGTTTGTCGTTTCTGTACACCACCAGGATTGGTGCTTCTTTTTTCATTCTGGGCATCCCCTGTGGACTCCACTCAGGAGCGAAAGTGAATCTTTCCAGAACTTCATCTTTTTGATTCCACACCACTATGCAGCATGATTTCACCTCTGCTGCTGCTTGCAGCAGCAGTCCACATATCCAGTGAGTTTGCTTCAACGCATTGTCACAAAAGGCAGGAAAGGCCTCTTTCCCACCTCTGACATGGTTTTCGTACCTATCTTGATGTTTGCGAACATGTCGTACCACTTCCGTACGAAATAGATTGGCATTTTTGATGCATTCTTCTTTGGAAAGAGTCTCACCAGTGGTTTGATAATGAAAGTTGTCTATTAATGCCCGGTACCCACAGTCACCGCATCCACCTTGATCGGCCAGCGTCCAGTTTTGGGTTAAGGCATCCGTCAAATTACCAAGAGACTGCGAGGTTGGCTTTGAACTCTGCTTGTCAATCGCTTCAGGCTGAGTCTGAGAGTCCAACTGCGTTTTTTCGACTTCCATTGGGTCCTTACTTTCATCGCCCTTTTCGGGCTTCTCAGCGGCAGATCTGGACCGATGTCGCTCATCGGGTTCTTTGGCCTGCCTCTTCGCGGGGCGCCCCCGCGTGTTGGCCGTCTGTGGAGGCTGATCCTTAATTTCATCCCATGTCTTCCTTGGTCCTCTGACTGCAGTGGTGCTGTTTGGCGCTGCAGGTTTATGGACCGAGTCGTTGACTATTATGGTAAACACAGTGGCACCTTCATACACCCAAAGACCCTGGTCGTATGGGTATGCAACAGGAGGCATTCCACAGGCGTTCCAAAAATTTTTCTTGTTGACCCTTCTTCTATTGTGAATAGTCATTTGGGTCCATCCTTGTTGTTTGAGGAAATCAACCAGTTCTTCCGCCATCCAGTCCCTGGGAACTCCAGAAATCTGAATTCGTTTGGGTTTCTTTTCGATGTCTTCATCTGATTTCTTTGTGAAACCAATGTCATTTCCCAACCCTTTCCGTAAGCACATCGGCTGGCCTCTCTCGCCTGAAAGACGAAGGCATCTCTGGTAGTATGCTTCATCGGTTTCATCTTTTTCGTGTTTGGTCCACACAAAATGCGGACGTTCCTTAGAGGTATCAATATTCTTATTGATAAAAATACCTTTTTTCCCTGATTTTTCCAGGAGGGTTTCCGCATCTTTTTTGGTGAGCTTAAGCCATCCTACCAAACTTGAACTTTGTTTCTGCCATTCCTGTCTTTCCCACCTGCCACCTGTGAGGACATGTGCACGACATCCAAAAGTGGCCAAGTCGGAAATGACATCAACGACACGTTCCTTTTGGGGTTCAGATACAAAGAGTTCTCTATAGTGAGAGGGAACGACAATTCTGACCAATTCCCTTTCAACCGTAGTAACATTGTTGGGATCAACTTTAACAGGGTGAGTTCTCCAAGGGTAGTCAGAGCCTAAACCGAGCAAGGCAATGTCTTCGACCTTGGCATGTTGGTTTGTCCTTTGAAGCCTGGTCCTGCTCAGTGTGATGCCAAGCTGATTCATTGCATCAGCTGACAAAACCAAAGTGAGTCCTTTCGTGAAACCAAAGCTTGTGTACAAGTCACGAAGTTCTTGGGTGACCTGTCTGTCATGACTGCAGCAAATATTTCCATCCCAGTCTTTTCCTTCCTTAATGGCCTGGCAAACTGTTTGCGCATCCACAAGTTTGATTGGCTTGTTCCATTCAACTGGGTTGAGAGCTCGCACCTTGGCAAGGTTTGGAGTATTCTGTTGAGGTTTGTGAACCTCAGTGTCTTGTCTGGGGTTGTTTCTTTTCATTATGTCTGGGGTTGTGGTCCACTGTGGTAACTTTGTCACCACGCTTGTCCCACCACCACCATCCTGTTTGTGGGTCTCTGCAATACTGTTTCCACGCACCATTCATTTTCCACCATCCTGTCTCAAGAATGGTGTAGTCTTCATCTTTGTTGTCCCGCAGCTGCTCTTGTCTAGACGGGTCAGGTTTGGGCTCCTGTTTCACCGTTTTCTTTTTCTTAAACATCTTTTTGGGTGAATTTTGACCGACCACTTGACCTAACAAGGACATCACGGATTCAAACTCTTTCGGAAAAGAACCTTGGTTAAGACATACCTTCAAACCTTGGATCAAACTCCTAACCGCGGCGTTGTCATTGTCACTGTAATTCTTTTTCCTTTGCGTCCTTCGTTTATATCCACCTTGCAACCACTCAGAGGCAAAAATGCAATTGTTCGCATCAGGCTTGTACCAGCTCAGTGCATCATATCCAAGTGGCCATTCTTCGGGTCTCGGAAAACCCGAATAGAGGAAAGAGTATGACAGGGAAACATCCATGCCATTGGTTCGAACATATGTCCATCTCATCCGAAGCTTCAAAGCACATCGTCTGTGTTTCAGGCGTGCTTTTCCGAGTCTGTGCGTGCTGCATTTTCTAGCAGCACATGCAACATGTGGTTTCAACAACTTCTGACAGCGTTTGAGATCACTGCATTTTTTCACTGAGCGTTTGTTTTTCAAGCGTTTGATGATTCGTTTTCGTTTGCGTTTGTCTTGAGCCCGTTTGAGACATGCAAGCACAAATTGCTTAGTGACACCGTACCTAAGCAACCAGCCGCAAATTTCTCCCATGGTGCCCAAACAAAACCAGATAAGAAAGGGTGACCAATGAATTTTTTCATCAAACCATCCCATCTCAAAATTCCACATTTCGAGGGGAAAAGATTCCCAGGGGCGAAACCCAATTTTCCACCATTCCAAACCCAAATTCCACATTTTGGAGGAAACAAAATTCAGAGGGTAAAATCCAAACTTCCCATGGTGACACCTAGCGACCAAATCCAAAATCACATTGAGGATCCCAGGGAATTTACGTTTTGAGGGGTCAGAACCAGAACCGTAGGGGTGGATATCGAAAGTAGTTGCACTTACTTCCGTCAAAAGTCTGAAACCAGCTTCCACATCCACGGAGCCATATTCGCTCAGCGCATCTGCAATCTGCCGCCCGCTGCGAGGCACATCGATTGTCAGCTGCCATTTTTTCCCGTTGCGGGTCATCTCTGGGGGGCCGTTAGACTGAGTTGTGGCATTTTCCACAATCAATCCAGGGCGGCCGGTGTAATTGACGTCATGGTTGGCGGCCAGGTCCTTGTTGGTGTCAAATGCAGCACAGCAAGGCACAGACCAGCAAAGCATCAGCAGCCAGCCAGCCATCATCCTAGGATTGGCCTTATGGCTCTTGTCTTTTTTGGCGATTTGAAAAATCGCTCTCTTCGTGCAATGCACATTCAAATTCTTGAATTGGTTCTTTTTGTCTTCCTTTTTTGACTTTTGTTCTTTTTCTTTTTCTTTTGTATTTTTCTTTTCAAATTCTTCTGCAACAAACGTGGGCCATGCCACGTTAATTTTCTCTCCTGCCTGGCACCCGTGACGAGCCCGCAGCGACCGTGCCACTCTGCTGTGGCTGGAGGCGCAGGAGAAGCTGCTTACCTGAAATCAATGATGATGTAGACAATGACGCTGCCCGCACTTGCCCGCAGCCGCAGCGCAGGCCAGAGGCGATCGCCAGAATAGAATGGAGGTGGTTCTAGTCGTCGTGGCGCTGCTGCAACACATCAGCACGTGTTGCAGCTGCAAACCTTAGAAGTTTGTTGTCATGGTCCACCTTAGTAGGATCAGTAGTGGGCCATGCGAGTCTTTCCTGCAGCACATCGTGGGGTCTAATAGTAGGATCACGGTGTGGGTTCTGAGTACATTCCCAAAGCATGTGCTGCACAGTGGCACAAACATGTTGGCAATAAGGGCATGTTTCTTCAGCACCTCCCATGGCATTTCGACATTGAGGTGAAATGAAAGCACCAGTTACAACAGCCAGTTCGTGACTGTTGAATTTTTTCTTGCGCAGAATATTAATGCGGGTCAGGTCACATGGAATGTCTGCACAAACCGTTGAGTCGCGTCGGTCAAGTTCCAAGAATTCCTCATATTTTCTGATTCGCCAAGCATCTCTGAGCCTATGTGACAGCACTTCGGTCGCCTTTTCAGGCAGTGTGGTTGGTTGAATCTGAATAGTTTCAAGCATCGGGTGCGTCCAGGTCCAACTACCAGCCTCAGCGAACCCAAGTTCTTGCATGCCTTTTCTAAAGCTACCCGTCCAGCCACTCATTTTGGGTGGCCAGTTTTGCAACTGCATCTGTGTTTTGTGAACATAGCGGGTGAGGACTCGGAGAGTCGTAACCGTGGCAGCAAAACCTAAGTCCCACCAATGGCCAGTAAAAATTTGGAGTAAAGGTACGGCTGACTGCTTTGGCCACTGATGCAGCGCTTTTGCTCCCTGAAAGAAAGCGTTGCTTTCAGCATGAGTGGGTCTTCGAAACAGCCATCCCCAACTTGCTTTTGCTGGGGCACAAACCCTGGCAACTGCAGCTTTACGTGTTTTGGAACCTGGGAGGCACCTACATTTTCGAAGAACTTCTTTGGCCTCAGTGAGTCTTGTCAGTTCTCGGGCTTTGGCTTTTCTTTGGGTCACTCCCATGAACTGGAATCCCAACAAGGTGATGGAAGTGGAAACTGTTTCTGGAGGACAGCCGGCATCCTCGAGAGATCGGCAACCTTGAACGTTGCGGTGGTAATATTGCTCTTTGGTGGGGTTTTCTTGAAGACCAACCTTATTGCTCCAAACATGCCATTCATTTCGAACTTGCCATATTTCAGTCGCAGTGGAACAAGTGAAAGAACGATCATCGGCATATAAAGCTTGAACGCAACAAGGGTATTTTTCTCTGAATGTGATTGGCAATGGGAGTAAGCAAAACACACATGCCTAACATGCTAAAGCAGTCACCTTGCGGCAGGGAGCGCTTGACAACATGGTTGTTTGGGAAAAATTCGTCATGGAGCTGAAGAAAACGGATTTGTTCGCTCCACATGCTTAACAACATGCGTGCAGCTTTGCGCGGCATACCTTGGTGGACAAAGAGTTTGCAGATTATCTCAGGGTCAGAATAATCGAAAGCTTTTGTCAGGTCAAGTGTACCAACCGGCCAGCTATGCATGTCTTTGAGGATTATGTGAGAGATAGCATCCTCAACACCTTTTTGGGGAATTCCCCCAAACATGAATTCGGGGGTGGATGTGTGGATCCATTCCTGAACCTCAGTTTGTTTGAATCTGGCTCGGCTGCAGATTCGCCAGATTATCGACATCACAGCTATGGGACGCATGTTGTCCGCCAGCATGCTGCCGTCAGCTTCAGGTGGTTTCCCTTTCGGGATATGCACTTGGCGAACACATCGCCATATGGTAGGAATGTTTCCGAGCTCTTCACAATGATCATAGAACCCGGACATGACCTGCCACATTTCGTCACTGAACAAACTAAGTTCCTCAGCTCTCCAGCCGTCAAGCCCCGGCGCACTGCCGCGGCTACACTTGGTGGCAGAACGGAGTTGTTCCGGTGTGAGGCTTGGCCAGCTGTCAGGAGCAGGGCGTGGTGGAGTGTGAGTAACCAAATCATCCCAAATATCATCCCAAGAGATTTGACGTCTATTCCAAATATCGGCCCAAAATTCCCTGAGAATCCTCAGGCTGTCTTGGGTGGAGTGACTAGGAACAGAGTCTTTGGTTTTCTTAACCGCATTGCACATGGGAACAGATCTATGTCGCAGCCACCTGTATGCAGCCTTGTCATGTTCCATGTTGTTTCTCCATCGTTGAAGTCTGGTGTAGTCATCTTCATGATTGAACCGTTCCAAAAGCGTTTCAAGATGCCGAAGGTTTCTTTGTATACCCCAATCATGGTTGTACATAGAACACCGTCTGATTTTATTCCAGAGAACTCGGCTTTCAGTGATATTTTGCCTGTCTTGATCCAAGTTTCGCTGGGCTTCCCGCAACCTTCCAATCAATCTGCGCAGAGCTCTTTGGCGGTGAGTAGCCATAGCTCCAGCAGGATGTCGTTTCATGTGTTCTTTCTGTTTAAGAGAGACCTCAGTGGCCTTTCCTTTCCTCAGTAAGGCCGGAGACACTCGCTGCAGCATGTCAGGGGCAGCAGCCCTGACTGCACAAACTAGGGCTTGAAAAAAAGTTTGCGAAAGCATCTGCCAGTCCTGGTCAACATTGACTGACCATCGCTCTGGAAGTTGTGTGGAAAACTGCGGCCAGAGCTGAGCCAATTTGATTTGGATTCGTTCAGCAACTTCCGGGTCCTTCGGGAGGATTCTAGGAATGTTGGCTTGTTGGAAACCTAAAACAGGTTCGGTAGATAAATCGAAAAAAGTTTTGACAATTTTGTGGTCGGCTACAACATCAGGAAGCGTTTCGACCTCAGTGGGCTCAAGGTTACTGATATAGTAGTCAATATCGCGGTTTCCTTGCCACCGCGTTGGGGTTTGAGTGGCATGAATACGAAATTCCCTAGGAATCAAGAAATGAAGAAAGGGATTCTCTTCGGGTGTGGCATTGTAATCCCCCCCAAAATAAAACGATGTCTTGGAGCGAGAGAGTGGACAGTTTGAGCCACAGCTGCACTCACGGTTTCTGCATCACTGTTAGGAGCCAGGTAAGTGGAGATGACCAGAGTTGATCCCACCCCCACAGCTTGGGCACTACCTCCTTTGTGAGTGTGTGACCAGGCCGGTCTACAAGGTAGTGAAGATTTAACCAAGACTGCAGCTCCTCCGTAGTGTCGATTGACGGTGCTTTGCGCACCGGAGAAAAAACTTCTGTACCCACCAGACCAACAAGTTTTTTGAAATGTGGTCCATTCAGCCTGGCTAAAAGAGCATTCCTGAAGCAGCACAATCTGAGGTGCCTGCTCCTGGGTTTGGAGCAGCTGTTGTAAGGTCCACGATTGTTTGGGTCCTTGAGTGTTGCATGTCCAAACTGACACATGTTGATCCAAGTTGCGCAATTTTCGTGATCTTGGTCCTGGATGGGACGCTTCACCAATTCTCACAGCAACCTTATCATTATGGTCATGTTCTTTGGCTCTACGGCTGCGCTTGTTGGAGGATTGGGAGGCAAAAAGCTCCTCCCCCTGCTGCAGAGTCTTCCCCCATGCTTGACTGAGGGCTTTTTTTGGGGTTTTAGTTAAAGACTGCCAATATCTTTTCTGAGACTGGAAACCTTTGGAGGTGGGATCATGTCCCAGGCATGGATTCGTCCAGATTTTGACAGCACCAAGTGGATTAACCTTGTGGCAAATTTTACAGGTCAGGTATCCCTTGGGAAACTTTTTAGCAGTGGAGTCCGGGTGGCGCATGGCATCCGGCGGAAGGACCTCAGTAACTAAGTGCCCTGCAGCTTGCGCCGCCTGAAAAGTGGTGGCAAACGGACCGCTAAGCCACTTGGCTGGCCCTTTACCGTTGACTCTTTTTTTGGTTTGGAAGTTTGCATTTGCACCCTCGGCTTCAGTCATACCAAGTCCGTTTCTGATGGCACCTTGGTTCGCAGGGTGTCGCAAAGCCATGTTTCGGATCCAACCCAGCAATTGAGTCGGGATAGGTTGAGTTTCATCAGTGCATGCGGTGGGTTTGAATCTACATGGTGTCCCTTTTCGTCTGCATTTGGCACAAACAAGCACGGACGTCAAATCAAGTTTGCGTCTCTCTTCTTTGGGGTTATGTTTGAGAAGAATTTGGCGAACATCATGCCCCGTTTGCGGAGCCCAACTTTCAGGTTGTCAGCGACCTTCTGTTGTTTGAGCTGACCTATATGTCTGCCTCGCAGTTTCATACGAGCTCGAAGGCCTTTGTCAGTTCTTTGTTTCTTCCTGTACGCCTGAGTTGGATTTGTGTCAGGGTGTGCCTCGGCAAAATGTTTGCAGACACTAGCTTCGTGCCAAACTTTTGGCAACAGTGGGAGTCCTTTCCCGCATTCTGGGCAACTCCAGGCTCTGCCACTTTCAGGAAGTTCCGAGGTCGGGACTGTGATCTGAGTTTGAGCACCGAGTCGCGGGCATTCAGCTCTTTCGGAATCTGTATGTCTATTTTTCAGGTGTGAACTTTTTGCAGCTTGAAGCTTGGCTCTCGCTTGCAAACCTGCAGGAATTCTGATTTCATGCCGGCAGTCAGGCAGCGGACAAACCCATACCTGAGGTCCTTGCGGGTTGGCAAGCGTCTTAGCATCCAGCCGCTTGAGGTGTCGAGGATATGGAGCAGTGTCAGGGCGAAAGTCGCATTCTGTGTTGTCATTTTTGACTGCGCCTTTGTCCTTAGTCCCCGACCGGTCCTTGGTCAGGTTGTCTGTCAAATTGAGGTGAGTTTCTGAGGTTAAAGATAAAACCGAAGCTTTATCGTTCTCAGAGGGTGCAAGAAACTTCATGTCTTCAATCCTTGAGTCACAACTGCTTTGCTTGAACCTGCATCTTTTGAATGGTCTTGCAACCGTTTCACTCGGATGCTGCAACTGCTGGGATTTGATGGCAGCACGCGGAGGTTCGCAGGAGTGAGGGGAGGCAGCCAAGGTAAGAAGAGAGGGTGAGCGCGGAGGATGGGGTCGCGCAAGGGCACCCGAAGAACCACCACCCG